TGGACAAGTTCAGTACCGTGGTGGATATTCATTTTGGTATAGTACTTTTTGTGACGGGCTCTGGATCGATTCAGAACATTGCTCGAGGGAGCGTTAGTGATTCCACTTTGCCACCAATTTCAGCGGCTGCACCGTGTTTAGTTGCTAGGATTGGATCCATTGAGCATAGGTACTGTGGTGTCGGTGATGTCTATAATACTTTTGGAGATGTTAAAGGCGACAGTTCTAGCAAGAGGCTTTCCGTTCAGGCATTTTGTATGATTTCTGCTAATAGTGTGTGCTTCGACCCTATTTGGTAAACATCAATTCCTTGGTGGAATTTTAGGAACCCGAGAATAGGATTCAGGTGTCGCTTGTGGACGCCGTGCAGAGGACGATAGTTTATATGGAGAGTTTTGGTTATTGAGTTGTGGAAATTTGCCATTTCATTTTGATACAAACGAGTTTATTTCTCAGGTGGAAAAATTTTATGGAGCTCCGCTCGTTACATCAGAATTTGAGTCAAGGTTGAGATTGTTAGAGTAGTGACTTAAATAGGAGTCTTCAATCGCATATTGTTGGTGTTAGAAAGAAGTCTAACTGCATTCAACAACAAGGAAACAAAATTTCGTTAAAATTGGGTCTCCTAATTGTAATATATTTTCTTGCCTTTTAGGACTCTTCTTGGATTTAAAACGTGATCTATAAATATAAGACTCTTCCATCGGTTTTATTTAAACATTATTATCGTGTTTGTAATTTTTCTTCATATTGTCAATTTATAATACATCGTTACTCTGCGATAAATTCTCTTTGTTTATTTCTTTACTTTTAATCTTGTTTCTTGTTGTGATCTTTAATACTTCACATCGTCATTAAATCTCATTCTTTACAATCTGATTTAGGATCAACAAGTGATATCGGAGCTTTCGCGCCCAACACTTTTTTACATCATTTTTATTGTTGCGTTACATGGCAACAAGCTATTGGACAGTTTAAGAAAATAAATAGCTTTTTGACCAATCAATTCGTGCCAACTTGAATTATGCTAAAAGTAATGTATACTTTCAATGTGCAAATGACTTAACTCATTTTCACTTGTTTACCTAATTTTTAATGTGCTATTGGACCTCTTGTTTGCTATAATATTTTCATGTTTGCAAGTTACAGACATAATTTTCACATCTTAACGAAAATAAATCAAACCACGACAACACCAATTCTAAAAATGTTCGGACTTGTAAACCCATTGAGTTTGGACACATTCTATAAATTGTTACTTTGTGATATTATTTGCATTTTCATTTAAGATATTGTTTGCTAAATTGACTTGGTATTGTGTTTTTGTTTTCATTGACTTTTTTTTTTTTTTAGTAAATTTTTTTTTTCAATTTGACGACTGGACTTATAAAAAAATAATTTATTTTCGTGGTTATTAATCGCACAAACTGAGCTGAACCGAACCAACTTACAGGGTTATGGTATGGCCAAAAAATTGGTGGTTCGATAGTGATTTTGTCGAACCAAACTGTTGCCAATCCTAAATCTGTCTAATTTACCGTTAATTGACCTAAAAAGTGATTTTGACCACTGTTTACTCAAGTAAAAGGGCAAAATAGTAATTTAATATTTTTCCATAAATTGATAAAAAACCTAAATAAAAAACAAACAAAAAAAATGAAAAAAACTATTTTTTTCTTCCTCACCCCACCCCACTAATTCTCCCACCGAAACCCTAATTCAACCCCATCACAAAAATCTCCACCCTGTCGACAACCTATACACCCACTACATTCGCCTCAACCAAAATCTTCCATTACCATCAACCTAGCCTCTCATTGTTGCCGTGAAGGGTTCTACACTTCATACCACCAATACCTCTGCAGAAGTCTCCTTCTCCAACATAAGATTCTCGACATCATATCTCAACAAAAGAAATGTGTAATTAAAGAAAACCCTAAAGATAGACTTTACAAACTCCACCATTTACCCAAACAATAGAATCAACAAAGAGCAGTCAGTTATCGCCGCTACAACTAGTCTCTTCTTTGTGCTATCCCCAATAATGTTATCCAAAGCAAAAATGGTCAGAATTCATTTGCTTCACTTAACCCAGAAAAGAAAACGTCATAACGCCAACTCAATGTAGATGCTCAGTGAATAAAGGGGGAAGGGGGGAGGGGGAAGAAGGAAGAAGCCAATTCCACATTTTTATACAATTCAGAGACAATCGAAGAAAATTTATATAACCAAGCACAGCGTTAGAAAAATCGACACGAGAAATCAATTATATACCCATAAATGTGCATTATACATCAAGAGGTAAGAAATATTATGCAAGGGCATGCATAGTATAACGAATTTCATCATGGATCTGTTCCATTTGAGCGTTCATTTGCAATTTCATATTTTTCATTTTATTTATCCTAATCTCCTCATTCTTTTGGGTTGAGGGAATGGGGTGGAGGTGGAGTGGGAGTGGGGTGAGGAAGAAGAAAATAGTTTTTCTTTTTTGTTTGTTTTTTTTATTTAAGTTTTTTTTATTTTACCGAAAAAATATTAAATTACTATTTTGCCTTTTTAAAAATTGAGTAAATTGTTGTCAAAATTAATTCTTGGGTCAAAATCACTTTTTGAGATCAACTAACGGTAAATTAGACAGATTTCATCCAAAATGTCTTCAGATACAACGTTTTAAAAGGTTTTGGATGACAATTGCAACAAATAAAAAGTTAGAAAAATATTTGCTAGTGTTTAGAAAGTTTGAGGCTTCTACTGCAATTATCCCTATTATTTATAGAAATCGATCTAACATACTTTATAAATAGTTGAATTTTATGTCACGCCTTCGAGAATAAAAAATTAAACTATAATGGTGTACGTATATTACTTTTTACATCATTTTTTTCATTGTGTTATATGGCAACAAGCTATTGGACAGTTTAAAAAAATAAATTTCTTTTTTGACCAATCAACTCGTGCCAACTTGAATGATGCCAAAAGTAATGTACACTATTAATGTGCAAATAACTTAACTCATTTTCACTTGTTTACCTGATTTTTAATGTGCTATTGGTCCTCCTATTTGCAATAATATTTTCATGTTTACAAGTTACGGACATAATTTTCACATCTTAACGAAAATAAATCAAATCACAACAACACTGATTCTGAAAATGTTCTAACTTGTAAATACATTAAGTTTGGACGCATTCTATAGATTGTTACTTTGCGACGTCTTCAACAACAAAATATTTATGTGAAAATGATTAGTTATTATTTTCAAAACACATTTTTCTTTCTCTTATTTTTAATCACACATTTTTTTAATAAAATAATATTAAACGTAAATCCAAAAAATTTCATTATTTTTTAACCACACATTTTCCATAAAATCACTATTCTAAAATGCATTATTGTCAATAATAATAATAATAATATTAATAATAATAATAATAATAATAATAATAATAATAATGGGGCTCAAAATCACTATTATAAATTTTGTGAAATTGCACTGCAGTTAAATTTCTTACATTACAAAGTTAAAAAATTAAAGTAGAAAATCTCACATTTACAGCATAAATTTAGCTTCTCCGTCCTTTTCTTCCTTTTTTTTTTTATTTTTCCGTAATTTTTGCGACTTATAGTTAATTGATTCAAATAATACGTCTCACAAATACATTACCTGTGCGTGCAAAATCATTATAGATTTATCCTATACAACTTTTTATTGTATGGTCCATGTAAAAAAAATAATAATAATAAATAAATATATATATTTCAAACTTTAATGAAATAATAATAATAATCGCCTTTTTGGCTAAGTTTAAAAAGGTTACGTAAATATAAAATGGTGAATAAATTTAAATACATATTTTTTTTATAGCTACGTAGTATTTTTCGCAATAATATATCTTTTATTTACTTTCATAAATATGGTTGATGTAGGGCGAATTGTGAAGCCCCGTGCAGCCCAATTAGAGCATTTAGATGGGTTGACCCATGACCCGTTGACGACGGGCTCAATTGGTAAGTTAGCATAAAAAAATTTTAAATAAGAACTTCGACAATATTGTCAATAATCACCTATGACTTCTCCATCAATATTTAATTATTTAATTATTTTCGGTAATTACCAATAACATCATTTATGGTGTTCTCGTCAGTAATTACGATGGAGGTATCGAGGATACTATTCAATGGAAATGTCATCAGTGATCAAGTACAAAAATTGATATCTTCGTAATAATTTCTATCTATTTCAAGAATGGATTAAAAAATCTATAAAAATTTTCCACATAAATTTCACCAAGGGAAACATGTTGGTATGAACAACAGTAAATTCCGTGACTCGTGCTACTTTATCTAATTATTTTTGAAAGTGTTCAGTTAAAGATTCTATCTAAAATTCTTACACCGTTTGAGTCACCTTTACTTCAACTACTAGAAATTTTAATCTATGCTCACAAAAAAATTGAAATAATTGCGATATGATTGATACGTGATACTGTACGTGATAACAAACAAACATTTTATACGTACTACTAATTTAATTTCATTCTTTTACTATGTATCAAACATATAGTCGACTACTTTCCATTTGGATCGAGTAACTCTTACTTCTCTTGAACCCTAAGTTCTCTACCCAAAAGAGTACCAAAAGCCCGAGAACGAACGGAGATAATCTAAAAGGACTTTTTGCAAAAAAAAAAAAAAAAAAGGTTTAAGGAGGTTTGTGCCAAGAACTGAACGTCACAGACCATTTGCAGACAAGGTCCGTACTTTATAGATAATTTGCCCCAATTTCCTTATATAATTTTGTAAACTAATTTCTTCTTTTTATCACGTTAGTAGTTGTTTCAACTGAACTCAACTCGGGTTAATTTGACGTGATATATAATTGGTTTTTATCAAATTTATTGTTTGACAGTAGTAAAATTGAAAATAAAAATTAAGATTATTTGCATCAATTCGTGTTGGATATTCATATTCCATGTGGTATGTGCAACATCTCCTCTAAAACATAAAGCACTAAACTTTTGAAGTTGTAGCTACTTAATCAAGTTAGCATTAAATGATGCATAAGAAAACTGGAGGGTTTGATCCTTTTGAAACAAGATTTCACGAGACATCCATGATAACTTTTTCTTTGAATTCATCTTCATCTGCCCAAAAATCTACTTTACCTAATGATAATAAGAAACAGTCAAGCACCCACAAAACTCTCTGTAGACTCTCTATTTTTGAGGGATTTTTTCTTCATTTCATTCCATATTTTGTCACCTTGAAACCCAAAATCCTTTGTTTTTTCATGATCAATACACTGATCTGCCCATGATGAACAAGATTTCAGCTTCTTTTTCTTGGTTAATACCGTCCATGTCGAATCCACCTTACCAAACGTGCAAGAAAGCCTTTCTTTCTTCCATAATTGGAACCCATGTTTGTGAATCTGCTCGTGCAATTCTTAAAATCAATTCACTCATTCAGAAGAAAAACAACACGTTTTGATCATTGTGTGCTTTTGACAAACTTAGATTTTCAATGGCTACCTCGTGTTTTAATCCGTTTCGGTTGCGAAAATCTAAGAGTAAAACATCTTCAACATCAATACCTTCCACTTCAAGAAACAACCAATTAACTTCTGAAACTAACAATATGGAGAGAAAAAGATTTGACAGTTTGGAATCATGGTCAATGATATTGGATTCAGAAAATTTCGAAACGTGGGAAGAATCTGAGGATCATGAGGAATGGGCTGCTGATCTTTCTCAGTTATTTGTAGGCAATAAATTTGCATCTGGAGCACACAGTAGGATTTATAGAGGGATTTATAAGCAAAGAGCAGTTGCTGTAAAAATGGTGAGAATTCCAACTCATAAAGAAGAGACTAAAGCTTTGCTCGAACGTCAATTCAAGTCTGAAGTTGCCCTTCTTTCACGTTTATATCATCCCAACATTGTGCAGGTTAGAATTTCTTTACCTCATCCAACAAGTTATATTGTTTGAGTTTGGGGTCCAAGAAGCAATACATGTGAAATTAGATTTGTGATCTACGAATGAAAAATGTTAGCAATATCTCGCCTAGGTCGTCGTGTTTGTTAAATTCACGGGAACGTCACTCGATCATTGCCAAACTCACTGCACTTCTTATTTTCACTTACACGGCTTCTTTCTCTGCAGTTTATTGCTGCGTGTAAGAAGCCTCCCGTATACTGTATTATCACCGAGTACATGTCACAAGGGAATTTAAGGATGTATCTCAACAAGAAAGAGCCATACTCTCTTTCAATCGAGACAATTCTAAGATTAGCCCTCGATATTTCACGAGGAATGGAGTATCTTCATTCACAAGGGGTGATACATAGAGACCTCAAATCGAACAACTTGCTTTTAAATGACGAGATGCGTGTTAAAGTTGCAGATTTCGGTACTTCTTGTCTTGAAACACAGTGCAGAAAAACCAAAGGAAACATGGGAACTTACCGTTGGATGGCACCGGAGATGATCAAGGAGAAAATTTGTACTCGGAAAGTCGACGTCTATAGTTTTGGGATCGTGCTGTGGGAACTTACGACGGCCTTGCTTCCTTTTCAGGGTATGACTCCGGTGCAAGCTGCATTTGCTGTAGCTGATAAGGTTAGATTTATTCCCTAATTCTGTTATAAGCATCCACTGGTATCAAAACTATCAGTTTCGAGGACTTGGCACGATAAGTCAAAAATCAAACATAAAAATACGCCAGTACCCCGAGGTTCATTACCTATTATTTCTACAAATCAGGATCTCATATGCACACTCTTTGTACTAAATGTAATCTAGTCGAGTTAATGTCATTTGTTTATGAAATTGAAACACGCTATGCTCGATCAAATTCTTGAAATTTTGAGAAATATTTGTTACCTTCTCTGCAGAACGAGCGACCTCCATTGCCAGCAAGTTGTCAACCTGCACTCGCACACCTTATAAAGCGTTGTTGGGCGGCAAACCCCTCAAAGCGGCCAGATTTCAGCGACATCGTGTCTGCTTTGGAAAAATATGATGAGTGTGTCAAGGAAGGACTCCCGCTTACTCTCCATTCAGAGCTAGTGGCCCGAAAGGCCATTCTTGAACGCTTAAAAGGTTGCATATCGATACCTGTACATGCCTAACAGTCTTCTTTTATAGACGCATACATGGCCACTTTATTGTATTTTTGTTGTTTCCATTTAGACTGGCCAATTCAAATTTGTTTATAGTCAATGTCTTCATAGTTGTCTGATATATGATACTATTTCAATTAGTTCAGGTTGTCTGTATTAAGTAGAACTCGATCGAATTTATGAAATGGAAATTTGAAATGCTTGTGTATATTTTTGTGTCCACTTCTATTATATATAGCATTCCGAATATTCACTTATCTAGCTCAATTTGGTCTCGACCCTAGATGAACGAGCCCATAAATCTTAATCAAACCAAGCCCTATATAAGCGCCGGTCGCCCATATCAGACCCATTACAGTCTACGAAATTTTAATTCGAATCTCACCATCATCTATTTATTAAAAATTTTGCGGTTTAGACTCTCTTACCACCCACCTAATAAAGACACATGCCCACATCTCACTGATAAAAAATATTTTGCATGAGATGGTTGGGTTGTTGGGGGTGTCAATTTTTCTTTAAATTATGTCATATTTGGCTAACTGTAAACACCAAACCTACTTTGAACAAAATGGCATACCTACCCAAGAGGGAATTGGTTTTGGTCGGGTTTAAAAGCCGACTTTAGATTTTATTCGACAACGTATTAATAACTTTTAAAATCAATCAAACATTTTTGTATAGTTTGTTGATCAAACCTTAAAGCACATTAATGAATTGAACCCCGAAGACATATGTCTACGAACAGACAATTTAAGTGAATCGGACAGGGCAGCAAAGGATTTTTCGAAAAGGTCTATAATCATGTAGGGTAACACAAGAATAGACAAAGTTACATTTGTTTGCATATTGGCAGAAGATAAAGTGAAATAAATGGGAGGATAACAATTGATTGATAAATTTAAGCAAAATCACAAAGCATAACGCCATTACCCACAATCAAACAGTTAAAACCGTGATTTGGGGTCTTCAAAGAAATAGATTTAAATGAATATATTCCATCTCTCATAGATTGCTTAAAAGAAAAATGTTACATGTAACAATTATCAGAGCAAAGCATCTGCTCATTTGATAAAAATTGCGCACGTGTCAAGTTTCAATGGAGCATAATATACCCTGCTTGGTAGAGAATGTATTAGACATTTCTGGAGGAATTAATGAACGATTGATTACATAAAACTACCCATAATTGTAGTTTTACACAGGAACTGCAAAAAATAAAAAATGAAAATTTCTTGAATTGTACAAGCAAACGTACGACTTTAACGAACCTTTTCTTTTTCAGGTCCATACACCCCAAAAACTCTCTCCAAGAAAATTCAAGAACCCTCCAACAGACCCTTTTTCGAGTTCATCCTCCGCCGTTTGTTCATCCTCAGCATCACCGGAAATGGCACTCTCCGCCGTTGAATTTGAGTTGGTAAACTCCTTCTTACTCAAGCTCAGATCAGAGACTTTTGACTCATCTGAGTTATGACCGTTATTACGTCTACTCTCCTTCTCTCTCTTTTGCTCTTCTCTTTCTTGTTTTGCATTTGCAGACCATCTTCAAAAGCATCTATAATCTTGTGTATGAGTTGACGGTTGGACGAAGAGTCCCATCTCACCCAGTAGCTCGTGTAGCAACTAAAGCAGTAACAGTTGAAGGACGGCCGGTGGTCAGCGGCTGCTGTGCTGCTGGTTTTGAGGGTGTTCTTGCGGTGGTTGTTGGAAAAGTTGGTGGAGGAGCAAGAAATGAGATATGCCAAAACTTCTCTGTCCTCCAGCGACAGAGCCGCCGTGAGAGTCAAGATAGTCGCCGGCAAAAATGACAGCACTTGTTCAGAAACCAATGGTGGCGTCGGATGAACAGTGCCTTTCTTGTACAGCTTCTTCATGACTTATGATATTAGTTTTGGAGAGAGAGAGGTGGATCCATATAAAGAGGGGA